AGTCATCATTTTAACAGAGGAAAGGAAAAAGCCATATGATCCTGTCACTAGTTGGAGAAAAAGTATTGGACTAAATTCTACAGCTGTTCATGGTAAACCAGCTAGGAATTCTTGATCAGAACTTCAGAGAGCTGGATGTGTGGGTGGCAGTGTGTCAGCTAGGTGCCTCACTGGAGGAAGGAAAGTTGTCACATGCCTCTTGTCTCCATCAAAATGAAGCATGCATGGAGTGCTTAGTCTGTTGCCTGGTGGTAGTAAACAGTCAGTGGCTATTGTCATGGTGACCTTGGAGAGGTAGAGGCGGTAGGGTAAAGAGATCTTGCTCTGGAGTCAGGCCTGGTTCTGATGCTGAGTCTACCTCTTCCTAGCTCTGTGACCATGGGCTCACCAACTGCTACCTCTTTGAGCCTCAGTGCCTTCTCTGTGAAATAGGGATAATGGTGGGGTTCCCCCATGGGGTCAAGGTGTGGCTTCGATGAAATAATTCATGGAAGGTGCAGGGTAAAATGTTCAAGATCCCTTTGCTGCTGCTGTGGGAGCTTACTGAATCTTTCCTGTCATCCCCATTTTATTTTAGGAAATAGGCTCAGAGAGGGGTGTGATTTGCCCAGGTTCTCACAGCAAGTAAACTGGTGGAGCCAGAATTTAAACCCAAATCTAGGCCCTGAGCCCAACCTCATTCTCCAGTTCTCCATGCCTTTGAGGTCCCCTGGAGGCTGCCTGGTGGGGCCGGCTTCCAGCTCAGCCCCCTCCCATGTCCTCCTCTTGCAGGTCATCCTTTTTCAGTACTAACGCTGCCGGCACTTGTGCATCTGCCCATGGGCACCCCACAGCTGCCCCTCAGCTGCTGAGATCCAGTGTCCCAGTCACAGCCAGGATCCACAGCCTCCGCATTCACCCCCACCCGCCATCCTGCCCGCCACAAGCTTGGCCCCCCAGGCCTAGCCTTTCCCTCTCCTGCTGAGAACCAGAAACCCCCAGGAGCACCACAGAGTCCTCCTCTTGGAAAGCAGAGCTCCCTGAAATTTGGAATGAGGGTGAAAACAACAGCCTGTTTTTCCCATTTAAACAGGAGTCATCTTCAACTTCAGCTGATCACAATAGCAAAAGGCAAATGGAATCGTACAACGCCAACAGCCTCCTAATTTACAGGTTTTCTTTCCCCTCATATTGGTCTTTATGCACTACTTCCTTGGAACCATCTCTGAATTCTGAATAGCCAACAACCCCCAGTGTTATCCACTCTGTTGCTTTTGTCTGGAAAACTCTACAGTTTGTGGGATGTCCCCAAAGGAAAGCTGTGTTCTAATTTTATCATTTCCATCTGTCTGGTTATGTCAAGTTAATTCAGAAAGAGAAGAGACACTGACCAGCCCTAAGAGGCCCAATAAGGCAGAGATGGAGGCCTGCCCGGACCAGGAGGCAGACAGACCAGGGAGGGATGGGGGGCACTGGATTGGGAGAAGCACAAACCATTCCAAGGAGCGGAAAGGGAAAGCGTGAGTGGAGGGGAGACTTTACCCCCATCTCATTATCTGTCACATATGCAGAATCATGGCAGAAATGACACTTCTGAATGTCTGAGAAGGCTAGATCTGGGGACCTTTGTTGGCTACTTGTTTTACTCCTGATAGGGGTGCCTGGCCAAGTCTTCTCTTGGGGAGGACCACTTATGGGGAGTCAGGGAGCAGAGCCCGGTGAAATGGCAGCCAGAATGTTAATTCTGAACCATCTGTCATTAGAGAGAGGTGCCCACTGCCCATTGCCTAGGTGAGTATGCCACACCCAGGGTTCCAGCTGGTACCACGAGCCCTGCCCAGCCCCTGCCCCACCCACTCCTGAGAACAGAGGCCAGACATAGCTGTGCTCACATTCATCCTATTCTGCTGCAACCCTTCCACTCTGAACAAAGGGCTTGGGCAATACACAACCGTGATTTATGTTTTCAGGGGATGCCCATTTGTTTCAAGCTTATCCTGTAATTCTAGAACTACTTGGAGACCTGGTGCATTTCCCACTAGAGGCTGCTAGTAACCATGTTTTAGCTCAAGTCCTCGTTCCTACTTTGGAAGACGACCATAGGACAGAGAAACATATGCAGCTGCTGTCCCCATTTTCACCCATGGCAGACATCCCTAGTTGATCACAACACTCTTAATCTCACTGAGTCTGGATAAGCTTTCAGAATTCATATGCTTGAAGTTGGCACTTAAATGAGAACCTATAAGCCAGTTGCTCTGAGACCTGGAGGAAGGTTAGGCTTGAGTGTGGACCGAGAAGGGAACCTGAATCCCCTCCCTTCCAAAGATGTTACAGCTGGCTAAGGACAAAGAAAGCAACACTCACAATGTGGTGAGTGTAGCACAGTTCAGAACTCATCCAACGGAAACTTATGTCCCCCACCCCGTCCCCCGGGCACTGACTTAACAGGAGCTAGCTACTTGGGCCTGATCCCTGGCCTTGGGGATCTCAAATCTTTCCTTTGATTTTCACTCCTAATGGTCAAAGCCCCAATCACAATCATATGGTAAGTGGCCAGTTGAGCTCTGTCCAGGGTCACCTAGGACCCACTCTGCCTTGAGCCTCCCCCCAGGGTCTATTCCTCGAGTGGATCACCTGGCGGTAGCACGTTGCAGTCAAACGTCTTCACTACCTTGTTAAGAGCAGCCTGGGAACATACAGACCTTCGAGACTATTTATTTAAATACAAAACAAAAGGGGAAAACACACACATGGAAAAAAATTGTAAGCACTTTTTTGTAAAACCAATGTCTGTTTTGTTACATACCTTTCATGTTGTGCTTTGTAAATGTCTTATTTGTGTAATAAATAAAGTTAATGCAAGTAGAAGTGCTGGCACTTAAATCCAGAACATGATGGAATTCCATTTCTTTCCTGTTCTCTAGCTAAGGGGTTAAGTGTCTGGCTCCTAGACTATCTGGGCTGTTGGACAGTGCAACCCTGGAAAGTAGATACCGTTTTCCTGTTAGTAAACTGTGCATTGCAAAGGCACGATGATGGATTTCTTCTCTAAGTACTGCATCGCCCTTGTGTTTTAGTAAGCTTTGAGAAAATCAGGCTGGTTTCTGTTCTCTGTTCTGCTCCCCGAATGGCAGCTCTCTACTGGGCTGGGTGCAGGCTCAACAGTCTTAGAGAGAGGTCTCAGCCCCACCTTGCCCTAGAGGAGCTCTCAGTGTGGCCAGTGCTATAAACAGACAACCCCCAGCATTCTGTGAGGCATAGGGGAGGCTTTGAGCTGGATGCTGTCAGATGAGAAGTTCACAGAATAGGAACAAAAGATTATGGTTGGGTGGTCAAGGAGGGAGGTGCCCAAGGGCCTGCTGGGAAGATAGGGAAGAATTTAATAAAGTAGGGGTAAGAGAATTGGGGATGGGAGACAGGGCCCCAGCTTCTCCACAGCACTGGCTTGTAATGGTGGCTTTGTCCTGGAGGTTATGTGATACCTGTGTTTAAACTGGGATTTAAATCCAGGTATAGATGCTGCCAAAGCCACATTATTTTGGTGGCACCACACTGACCCTGTGCCTATGGTATGTGGCTGGAATGGATCTGTAAGAGGGACAGGCAGTCCTGGTAGTCATTCTTGGGCTTATGGGAATGTACCAGCTATAAGATGGGCACAGTACTCAGGCCTACTGCCCTTTGAGACCAAGTGAGTCACTCTCCCTCTGAACCTGATTCCCCATCTGAGGATGCTGCAGTGCGCAGTCCTCCCTTGCAGGCTATTGTGAGGAGCAGAGAAAATGCACACTTGCCTGAGTCCATTAGTGGCTCACTCAAGTACATATATCTACTGTAAGACAATAGTTCTCAGAATTTTCATATGCATAAGAAATGCCTGGGAATGCAAATTGCCAGGTCCCATTCCCAGAGATTCTGAAGAGTCAGTCTAGCCTGGGGCCTGGGAACAGCTATTCATGATTTCTTCTAGATGATTCTGATGCTGGGGAAATGAGAGTGCCTTCTGAGAAACAGTCTTCTAAGGCAAACACATGCACCCACTGAGTGTATGAAGGCTTTATTCTTCTGTCAAAACTAGAACCAAGCCAGCCAGTGCCAGCAGGGCAGATGGAAACCTCTGGTGGAAGTGGCCATAGGGTTCACAGCTTGGGCTTGGGACTCACGATCTTGTCCTCACCCTTCCGACACGTCCGGATGATCCACTCGTGCTCATCATCATCTGTAGGGAAAGAGAAAGAGCTGGTCATGCCTAGAGTTTGCTGGGAACTTCTGTACTCCAGAAGCCCCCAGACTCAGTCCTGGGGCTGGCGTGCATTCCTGCACAGGCTGATGGTCTGCTGAGGGGCCGTCTGGAGCAGATCTTTCATTTAAAATGAATCCCTCAGCAGACACCTGGTCTTAGGGAAATTGAGCACAAAAGGGTCTGTGGATGCTGATGGAGGCAAGTTGGTCTGATCCCAAGAGAGCAGCAGTCTCACACTCAGACACTCACCCGGGCCAGACCTGGCTGGTAGTGCTGGGGGACAGGAGTCTCAGATGTTACTTTCTTTCCTGGGCTCTCTGTTCGTGACCTTTCAAAGAACCTGTGGTTTCCACAGGAGGCCGACACCCTGCTGACTCAGGTGCCTCCCTGGGGAACCACAGAGGAGCAGCTGCAGCTCTGGGTCTTTCCTGAGCCCCCTAACACAGACATCTCCCTTTGCTTAGTCCCGAGGTTGCCTGACAGGCAAGTCTTTCCCACTGCTTCTCAGAGCAACAAACAGAGGCTCTTGGGGTTGGGCCACTTGTCCACAGCCTCAGGGTGAGTACGTGGGAGAGAGCCCAGGAGCTGAACCCAGGGTTGTCTAACTACAAAGCCTGTGCTGCTTTTCAAAACCTCAAACAGAGAATTGAGTGAGTTGGTCATCAGTCCATAGAACACCACCATCTACACGCTACGCAAGACCTCTTGAGGATTTACTATATTTTTATTTCCCCCCTTTCTCCTCAAACCCATCCCCAGCCCCTCCTCCACCACAACAGGGACCCACTCTAATGGTGGGATATATATGCCTAAACTGCATGTGGCTCTATGAAATATGTGCTGTTGTTTTGTGTGCAAATATGTTTTTAATTTAGAAAAATGGCATTGTGCTGTGAATTTCTTTGTGTCTCATTTCTTTCACTCAACAGTATGTTTCCAGGATACTGCTGGTTGGCTCCCCTCACATTTTATTCTCCATCTTCCCAGTGGTGGAGATGGAGGTCGACTCCAGCTCCCTGCTACCAGGAACAGCGCTGGGATCAACATTCTCAGGCATATCGCTTCAGGGATACAGGGGAGAATTGCTTTGGGGTCATATTCCAGGAGTAGGGTCCTAGATAGTGCACAGAATTTCTTCACTGATGCTCCTAGCTAAGCCAATGCTCTTTTGCACAACACCAGCTGCCTGCCTCTCCTCCTCATCCCTCTTCCCTCCAAGTCATCTGGGACCTCAGGCCATTCTCCTCTGGGCAATAGGTGGCAGGAGATCACACCTTCTCTTCTTTCTTAGCCCAGCGCCTTCTGCCTAAGAGATGAGAAGATGAGATGTTCCATCCTCTTTGGGTGACAAATGGCAGAAGCTAAGAAACAAGAGGACTTCCTGGGAGCTGAAATGCAGAGAGCTAGTGAAAGCTTGCTCTCTGAATCAGATCCCCCTGCCCAGGGACACCCCTGGGGTACCCTCCCCTGCCCAGGGAGACTTTCCTCTTCTGTGAAAAGGCCCAGGCCTGGGTCAGAGAGATGAAGCCTCAGGGACAGCCTTGTGGGTGCTTTACAAGCATTGCATCTCATTGAATCTCTGTAATGCCCAACAGGGGAAGAGAGATGCCCCCATTTTATAGAAGGGCTGAGCAAGCTACCAGTCAGTTATTAGCGTGGCTTCTCACCCCAGGGCAGATGTGATAGTATTGAGGAGAACCCCCCCTTCCTCCAAAACACCCAGTACTACTTCCTCTACCCTACTTCCTTACATATGACTTAAGGAAAAAGGCTGGCTAGCTTGCTCTGGTCTTTGAGAACTACTCTGTGCAGTCAGTGGGCCTCAGTTTCCCCCTGGGAAAGCTGCCTGAGAGTCCGGCTAAGGCTGGCAAACCAGGGGTGGGGAGAGCGGTGATGATGTGTCAGCACACAAGGAGTTAAGCACTGGTGGAGCCCACTTTTGCCACACTGTGAACAGCCTGGTTGATAATTACAGTTCTGAAGTCTCCAGGCTATTCGAATCAGTGCAGCTGCAGCCTCTTCAGCGGTAACCCCTGAAACCAGACAAACTGGGTGTATTGTGCTGAACCAGTCCTCAGGCCCCTCCCTGATCGTTACAAATTGACAGCAATGGACTTAACAGCCCTCTTCACTACCCCTTTCACTCTCTACCTGGCTGCACAGCCACCAATTTGAATCACAGATGCCTCCCCTCCCGGCAGCTGCTCACCCACCCTCCCTCCACCTCCCCTGCGCCTCCACGGCTCCCCTGGCCCTGCCACGCCAGGGTGAGGCTGCTGAAGCATATTTCATCAATATTTAAAATGGAATTAAACCTGTAGCTTTGATTAATGCCTCCCAGATCCCGGGAGTTGTGATTACTATTTTGCAAATTGCGATTGTTGGAATATGTTAATATGATTGTCTGAGAACATCTTCACCTTCTCAGATAATTTTCCCCCTTTTTGGCAGGAGGGGAGGGAGAGAGGAGGAAGGAAAAAAAGATGGGAAAACACCTCACAAACTCTTTAATCAATTGTAAATTACCTTCTTTGGCACAATTGTTGATGGTGCACAGGGAAAGGAAGGAAGATTTCTGGTTTGGTGCATTTATCTTTAAAAGTTTTGGGCCCTCATTGACCCAGTAATCCCACTCTGGGATGCTGTCCCAGGGAATAATCTATTTGTCTCAGAACTACTTAGAATCAAGAAAATGACATACATTGCTAAAAACAAGGGAATAATTACTTTGTTATATATATTCATTTAACAAATAATTTCTTTACACAAGCTACATGCCAGGAATTGTGTTAGCTTGGGACGGGGGGCAGTGGACACTCACTGTAAACCATGTGAGAGGATATTCAGCACTACTGAAAATGATAGTTAGGAAGTATATATAGGGGAAATGTTTTTGATGAGATAATAACCCAAGAAAATGAAAGAGAGGAAGAAACAAAATTATATGGACAGTATGTTTCATGTAAAAAGTATGCACAGAAGAAAAATTAAAGATAATAAATTGAAGTGTAAATCATGAGAAGTGGGACTACAGAAGTTCTTTCTGCTTTTGGTGTTTTCCAAATCTTTCATTAATGTATATTGACAATATAAAAAAATTAAAATAATTACTGGATTTTTTTTCCCTACTCTTCAATTTAATGTCTTGGTAATGTCATGTGTTTTGTTGATGTAAATAAAATATTTCTAGGTTCCTAGAAATACTAACAGGTTCTTGAGCTTCTAATAAGTAAAAAAAAGCCTAGCATAAAAATATTGGCAAAAATGAAGAAAAATCAGAAAAGACAAGTTCTAAGAATTCCAAAGAATTTATGTACATGCTCTTCTCTCAAAGAGTTGGAACAAAATTCCCTACTTTTTTTTTTTGAGGCATAATTTCACTATGTAGTTATGGCTGGCCTTGAACTCACTGTGCAGCCCAGGTTGGCCTTGAACTTATAGCGATCCTCCTGCCTCAGCCTGTTGAGTGCTGGGATTACAGGTGTGTGCCACCATGCCCAGCAAAATTCCTTACTTCTTAAATGTGGCTGTGCATACTGACTTCCAAAAGTACAGTATGGAATGATGGGGTTGCTTTTACAGTGGAGAACTCTGACCTCAGCCAGGTGTTCAAGGTTAACCTCACCATCAGTGGTCATTTCAGTAGTCTGTGTACCTTTAGTATGTTTGAATGAAAATGGTACTTTAACTCTGTGGTCTTCCTTCCTAAAAGTTCATAATCCTGGTCTAATCATGAGAAAACCATCTGGTAAATTCCAGTGAAGGGATATTCTACAAAGTATCTGACCGGCACTCTTCAGCACTACCACCAAACACAAGGAAAGCCTGAACAACTATCACATGGAAGAAGAGTCCATGGAGACACAACTAAATGTAATGTTGGATGGGATCCTGGAAAAGAAAATGGGAAAAGGCTAAAGAGATCTGAATAAACTATGGCATTGTGTTCATCCATGCTAATATCAAGATTAATTCATTAAATGTGACACACATACCACTCAATGTAAGATGCTAATAATAATAGGGAGGGATGGAGGAGTTGAAGGGAGGGCAGGGGAAGGGGGAAAAATAAGAACCAAGCAAGGTTATGTAAAGGTGAAAATTTCCAATGATGAATGTCATTATATTGTACACCTAAAATGTACCAATAAAAGGATATAAAAAAAGATGCTAATAATAGGAGAAATTGGGTGTGAACCATATCGAGATTGCTGTACCATCTTTACAATAATTATGTAATTTAGATCCAGTGTGCTCTCTCGCAGGTGAGATCGCTACCAATCAACAAAACAAAACAAAAGTCATTCACCCCCTTTCTCTCACAGCTCCCTTGTGTCACAAGTTTTGATATCCAGGTCTCAAATGTCACCTCTTTGTGACCCCTCATCTGACCTCCTCCCAGTCACTCTGTCTTGTCTTTTATTGTCTTCCTAGCACACACCACTCTCTGTAATCTTTTACTTATATGCTGCCTCTTCAATCTAGACTATATGCTCCAGTGAGACCAGGAGCCTTGCCTGTGTGGTGTCCCCAGTGCTTAGAGGAGTGTCTAACACATAATAGGGCCACAGTCAATACCTGTTGAGTGAAGAAATGAATCAACAAGCCCAATCCTGTGGTTACTGTGTGCCTAGTGCTAGGAATGGGGAAGACTGAAAGCCAGCATTGAGCACTGCCAAGGGCCCAATCCATACAGGAACTCTGTTTCCATCTGTTCAGATCCAAAGCTACCTGGGAGCTGAGGAATGGTTCATTCAAAATCTCCCAACAGGTTGGTGGCTCAGCATCTGAGTCAAGCCTGTCTGGTTAATAACTCTGTTCAGTGTACCCTGTGTTGCCACATGCACCCAGATGTCCTACCTTGCAAGACAACCTCTAGCTTTCCTTTGAGTTTTGGGGCATTTCTCATGAACTGTGTGTGTTAAGCACTCTTCAGGAATAACCTCACTCTGTCTTGATGGCAGACCTTCAAGGCA